TTCATCCACTGCCATGTGCATTACTCAGAGGAAGGAACTAGAGGAAAGTTGTATTTCTCATCGTTGTTACATCGCACCCTGACTGGCTCGTCTCCTCCCCGAGACACCTCTGCAAGGGAATACGTCTTTCTTAAGGCCTGTGAAACAATCATAAAAATGAACTCTACTAGACTCTGAAAGAGACTTCAATAAATCCCACCCCCTAAAAGGAATAATACATAAATTATTCTGTGATTACAACACAATAGGAAAAAAGCAGAGCATAAAACTGGCAGCTGAAAAGCCCCTAAAACATCCAAGTAAAAATCCCTATGAAATAAATTTGAGTCAGACGGGAAATATAAATCAAAAGGATGACATTTCTACAAAAGAATGATTGTTAAAGCATGCCAACTTAGAATCTGTGAGGGACAGGATGCCCAGAGGAAGGTCTATTATTAGGAGCTTATATCAATTAAAACTTAAGGAGGAAAGGAATTGAGTTTAGCATCTTATAAAATTAGCGAGAGAACGATAAAGCAATCAGAAGTGAATTAATAGACTAACATCAAAGATTATTGAACCGGAAAACCGGGAAGCTATAGAATTAATTAATCTAATGAAGACTCTTTTAAAATCTGATGAACTATTTAGAACATGAGCTAACCGAATTAAGGGATCATGAATAACTTGTGTGGGAAAGGCCAGCCCCCCACCACTAATCGCGGGCTCCATAGGTGCAATTGTACGCTTAATATATATACAGATTATAATAAAGTCACAGAGAGCATGAGAGATAGAAGAGAGATTGGAATAATGGAGGCAGACACATTTCATGGTAGCATGCTCATCTCAGTCCTGCTTGGTGGTCCACGTGGAGAGAGGGGGAGGGAAGGAGGACAAGGGAAAAGGGAACAGGGGAGCTGATGAGAGGCCAAGGGGGGCGCCCAAGAGACTCTTTATTGCTACCCCAGGCCCATATACCTTTGGGTGGCGTGCAAGCCCACTAATTACAGGTAAAGACATATGTCACAGGAAAGGTTTGCACTATAGGTTACACAGCAATGAGAGGGGGACAATCTAGGGGTATACACGCAATAGGAAGAGGAGGGATTGGGGGTATACATGTGACAAGAAGGGTGGATCCTAGATTCAGGGAGGCAGCCTAACTTTGGATGTCACTGAGCAGGTTTGACCTGGTCTCTGGCTCTCCATAGAAACCATTATCAGTAGGGTGTAAACCCCACCTACAGGAACCAAGCTAATGGTCACAAGCCTTTAGGGAGAAGTAGCCCATTGTCCTTAGCAGCAGGGAGTGGACACTGTCTGTGGTGGGACCAGACAGTAGTCTGGCAACTGACTGCCTTTAGGGAGGATGTCTCTAAACATCTGACCTCCCACCATACACTGGCAAAAATCCCCTAATGTTTGGCATGTCTTTGGGAGAGACAAAGCTGGGGGAAAGTCTCTTTATAATCCCTCAAAGAACACACAAAATGATACATGACACTAGCCCCCACACTCATGGCTGTCAAATTAATGCTGAGGTATGGTGACGCCGCAGCACAGGCTCCGAGGCAGTGAGACTGGTTTCTAAGGGTACCTATTCAAGTACATCCTGAGGTGCCGTGGAAGAAAGGCCTGGCGATCTGCTTCCAAAAAAATTAACGAACCAGGTATTAAAAACCCTATGAAACATAGTTCCACCTGGGATTTTAGAGGCAGAATTGACTCCGGGGGTCACTGGTAATCTGTGTGACAGCCTGAGAAAGCTCCCTAAAGTCAGCTACACAAACTACTCAAAACGAGTCTCCTTGGCGATTTCGAATCAAACACAACCCACTGCCACGAGTCAACTCTGACTCCGATTGACCCGACAGGACAGAGTGGAATGCTCCCCAGTGGTTTTTCGGAGGTTTTACACCTCTATTAGCACAGACGACCTCCTGGTCCTTCCTCGGACCAACTGGTGGGTTCGTACTGCTGACCGTGTGGTTAACGCAGCCAACGGGGTTTCTTGTGACTTAGAGCAGGGTGTGTCTCACATTTGAGGTGCATGCAGAGCTTCTGGGAATCTTGTTAAATTCAGCTTCTGATTAAGTGGGACCAAGGCGCTACGGTGGTGTAGTGGGTTACGCTTTGGGCTCTTGACCACAAAGTCAGCAGTTCAAACTCACCAGCCCCTCTGAGGGAGAAAGATTAGGTTTTCGGCTGCCATTAAAATGGAGAGTTCTACCTGCAGGGTCTCTCCGAGTCAGGATCAACGCGATGGTATGAGTGTGGTTTAGGTTTGTGGTTGGGGCCAACGACCCGTTTATCTAACAAGCTCCCAGGAGAGGCTCTGGAGGTATTTTCCCAAACTCATGGCTGCCATACTCTTACTCCCACATGCTGAGCCCCCGCACGCCTCATCCCTCCTCCTCTCCCCCAGCCCTGGCAACTACTTTTCTGTGCTCACGGATTGGCCCCTGTAGAAAATCTCATAAATTATCTAACTGCTCTGTATTTAAACAAGCGAAAAGGAGGTGAAATTAAGTCACGTTTTAATGTTATCCCATGCGTGTGAAATAGTATCATTTTAACACACAAATGATTGTTTAAGATTAAGATGTTGACACTTTTGTTCTCAGACTACATACTATGGGGTTTTTTATTTTTACCCTTAGAGAATACAGTATTTTTAAATAGTTGATTGGGAGTGTTTATAGCTATCATAACATTCTATTGCATCAAGCAGTGTTGTACAATCGCTACTACCAACAGTTTCAAGACATTTTCTTTCTTCTTGAACTCCTTGATATCAGCCCGCGGTATCCCCTACTACGGACTATTGCTGACAGATGTTGTCCAGTAGCTTCTGATCATAGCGACCCCAGGTACATGGGAACATTGCCCATCTGTGCCGGCCACACGCAGTGGCTGTTTGAGCCCATTGTTGCAACCACTGTGCCAAGGATCTTTGCCCTCTGAAACTGGTCTCTTAAAACACATCTCAATTGGCACTGACCACGTGCCCAGGGCTCACTGTCCACATGTGGTCAGTGGCTACCATATTGGGCAGGGTTGATCTGAATTAGGGTTCCACAAGTGGGCACTACTGCCCCTGGTGGGCAACTGGACCGATAGTGGGCGCTGCATTAGCAGACACGACACTTGATCTTGGGCGATGAGCTAGAGTTCAAAAGTTGTTCATTGCTGGGGGAGGGAGAGGCTGAGTCATTTCTTTATCTTTTTTCTTTTTCTGAAAAGGGGAAGATAGGCCAAAGAAGTTTGGGAACCTATGATCTAAAGCTTCATTTGCAAGAATCCATCGTATTTGCAAAGACCGCCATCTCCCAGGCAAACCCTGATTTTGTGACCTCCAGAAAGGGGTCGTGTGCTGGAACAGTGGCACCAAATTCACCAATTGCAAGTTAGGGAGCAAAAAAAAAAAAAAAGGACGTTTGTTAGAAGGCAACACCAGGGGGCGTCTGAGGCACCCCGCTGTGATCAGAACACACTGAGGTACTTTCCACTGGCAGCCACCTTCTCAGAGAAGCACTTATTTTTCCAGGTACTTGATTGGACTCAAGCCCTGGGGGTGCAGCAGTCACACGTTGGGCTGCTCACTGCAAGATTAGCAGTTCGAAACCACCAGCGGCTCTGAGGGAGAAAGAGGAGGCTTTCTGCTCCCCTAGAGCATTGCTTTCTTGGAAGCCCACAGTGGCAGTCCTCCCTGTCCTGGAGGGTCACTGGGAGCCAGAATCCATGTGAGGGCAGTGTGTTCAGATTTCTGGAGTTACTGGACACTCAGGTCAGGAGGCAATCACAAGATGCCAACGGTGACTACAGTATTCCGAGAGAATGGTTTAGAGTTGGAATTTCTGCATGTCTCAACAGCCAACGGCCCCCAGGCAGCGCTGTCCAGGTAGCCCCACAGAAGCCATCTGTCTTTGAGCAAAATCAGAGAAGTTATAAATATTCTACAGAGACTGAGGCAAGGCCCAGGGCAAGCCTGGCACGAAGGAGGTGGGTGGGTGGGTGGGGAGGGGTGCGGTGGGGGGGGGGATTAGGTTGCTGCTGGGTGGCAAGGGGTCATCTGCAAATGCACTCGCAGCTTCTCGGTAAGCTGCCACAGGAAAAGGGCCAAATTTGGACTCTCAGGCCAATGCCCATATCTCACTCAAGACCCCTGCAGAGAAAGCACTGGTTTGAGAGGAAGGACAGTGCGCTCCCCAATGTCCGTGCGACCTGCAAACCCCACGCTCTGTCTCAGATGGTCATCTCAAAGTCAGGGAGGCGGGTGGCCAGCCAGGAGGGCCCCAGGTCCTCCTCCTGTTTCCTCGGGAGCGCTTCCTCCTCTACCTGCTCCTCCTCTTCCTCGCTGCTCGGGTCCTCCTCTTCCAGGATGGCAGCCAGCTCCTCCCGCAGCACCCCCATCTGCAGCGCCAGGCTGCACAGCTGGCCTAGTAGCTGCACGTCCAGTCGGCGGAGGTTCCCCTGACAGTGGGAGGGGGGCAGAGTCGTGGGCATTTCACACTGCACAGCAAGGACCAGGGTGCTGACTGAGAACGCAGGTCCCCCCAAGCTCTGGCCAGCAGCTGGGAGGGGGTGGGTGGGTCCTCACTTTCTCTGGACCTCACACCTCACACCCTGATCTGCCACCTGCTTCCCAAGGTGTCTTGGTGAGCCCTTTCTCTGTCTCTCCATCCCAGCACCCACCTCTGTCTCCATGTCCCTGTCTCTTGAGTTTTGGTCTGTCGGTCTCTCTTATTCTAGGTTACCTCTCGATCTATTTCCCTGCCTCGCTCTCTGTGTCCATTTCCCTGCCCCTCTGTCTCCACACAGTCCCTGCCTCTCTCCCTGTGTGCCTCTCTTTGCATGTCCAGTCTCCCTGCCTCTCCATTCCTCTGTCCCAGATCTCTCTGTCTCTCACATTCCATTTCGTGTCTTCTGCTCACACCCTCCATCTCAACCTTTCGTTTCTTTCTTGTTCTCTGCCTCTCTCCTGGTCTTTCGGTCTCTCTCTCTCTCTCTTTCAGTCTCCCACTCGGGCTCCACGTCTCTGTCTCTTTCTCCCTGCCTGTCTCTGCCTCGATTTCCCTTCTTCCTGACTTTCCATCTCTGTCACTGGCACTGTTTCCAGACTCTCCCTCATCTCCCCTCCCCCCTGCCCCACCCTACACACACACACACACACACACACACACACACACACACACACACACACACTCACTCACCAGCTGCTCCCAGATCCACAGCAGGTGCTCCCTGGCTTTGCCAGTGTCTGTCAAGCAGGGGAGGGTCAGACAGGATCGCCCCTCCAGAGGGACCCCCCTCAGGGCCTGGGGAGGCAGGCCCAGCCCCGGGGGCAACAGCCCAGCCTCCTCCAGCTGCTTCCACTGCTCCATTCCCTTGAGCAGTGGCCACCAGGAGCAGGAAGTACTAAGGTCCAGAGTGACCCGGCCCCCCAGGAACTAAGGGTGGAGGGAGTGAAGGGCAGCCAGGCGGGGCCAGGGGCTTGACAGCTGAGCCCAAAGTTCACTCTCCTGGGAGAGCCAGTCGGGCTCCTGTGTTTTTTTGTTACCTTCTAACGTCTCACCTCCGACAACCCCGGTGACATAGTGCTGACTCGTTGGGCCTCAACGTGCAAGGTCAGCAGTTCGAAACCACCAACTGCTCTGCAGGAGCAAGACAAGGCTTTCTATGCCCATAAGGGTGACAGCCTTAGAAACCCACAGAAGCAGTCCTACCCTGTCCCCTCCTTTAAGGTCGCTATGAGTCAGCACTGACTCCCGGCAGTACGTGGGAAAGTCTAACCTGAATTCTGCTCAAAGCCCCAGGCCTTGGGCTGCAACAGCGGCTCCACTCTGATCTCCAGGTCTGTGGAGGGAATGCCGGTGGCCCAGTGGTTACTTATTAGACTGTTCACAGAAAGGTCAGTAGTTCTAAACCCCCTGCTCCTTTGGAGAAAGACGAGGCTTTCTACTCCTATGAAGAGGGACAATCTTGGAATCCAGCAGGATCAGGTCGAGCCTCTCCTCTCGGCTTTTTTCTAGTCAAAATCTACCCGAGGGCAGTTTGTGTTTGAAGTGTGTGGAGGGCGGGATGGTGTACAGTGGGGGTCCTAAATGAGGGGGAAAATGAGGACCTAATGCCGGGGGTCTAATTGGAGAGGAAATGTTTTGAGAATGATGAGGGCAATGAATGTACAAATGCGCTTTACACAATTGATGTGCGTATGGATTGTGATAAGAGTTGTATGAGCCCCTAATAAAATGATTAAAAAATAAATAAAAAACAACAACAACAAAAACAATGGGGGTCCTAAATCCAATCCGCGTCTTCCCAGAGATTCCATCTCCAGAGTGCTCTCTTCCCAGGGAAGGGCCACGCAGGAAGCTTTGCCCTCCAGCAGAATGTCTGCGTGGAGTCCAGCCCAGCCCAGGGAGGGGCAGTCTCCCCGCAGGAATGTGTCTGGCTTGCCTGGATGGAAAACAGGGGACTGGGGATGGCAGAGTCATGGTGCATACAACTAGGGGACGTCACGCGGCCTCAGACTACTCAGACCACTCGGCAAGCTTTTCTCATCTGCAGTGGTGCCGGGAGCCCCTTCCCATTGCCTCCTGGGAGGACCGGATGGAGTCCCCTTGCTTTCTGAGACTGGCCATCCTGAGACTCTGCGGTCTCCCTCGGGTGGGTGCTTTTGTCTTTGTCCTGCTGGAGACTTGGAGACTCAAGAAAGGCAGCCCTATCAGACACATGAAGGTGCCTGGTGGTGCAGTGGGTGGTAGAGGGAGAAAGACGGGGCTGTCTGCTTGGTAAAGAGTTATAGTCTCAGAAACGGAAAGGGGTCGTTCTACCCCGTCCTAATGGGTTGCTATGAGGTGGTATTGACTCCATGGCTGTAAGGTTTTCTGTGTGTCTGTTGGGTGGTGTAGTGGTTGCTGATCACAGGTTTGAAACCACCAGCAGCCCTGTGACAGAAAGACAGAGCTTTGATTATTAGGTTTCTCGGGTGAGCAAGACCTCGCGGTTCTTGGCTTCGCACGAGAAAGAATTCATGCCGAAGCCTGGTTTGTGATCCAAGTGAGTTTTTATAAAGGACGGGAGAAGTTTCCGGTTGTACAGCCACGGAACATGGGTACCCACGTGCGCACCCACACGTGGCAGCCTGAGGCCAGAGAGATCACAGCACAGTTTGCAGAAGGGCAGGGAAGAAGACAGGTGGTCTCTAGAGGTCCAGGTAGTTGAGGCCTTTTGCTGGGAGGCATGGTCGAAGGTATTGGTTGACCCCCATTGGCTGAATGAAGCCCACCTGGGCCCAGTTTGGGCCACTCAGGTGTACTGCCCACCTGGCTGGGGCTTGAATTGGCGCATGCCCAGTAGTCTTTATGGCTGGTTGAGGCTGGCCTGGTTCTCCACAGCAACCTCCTGTGGGGTCCTCCAGGCATGGAGAGAGACAAGCCGCTGTTCCTGCCTCTTCCTACCCAACACTTTCCATTCCCGTAAAGACTGACAGTCTTGGAAACCCACAGGGACAGTTTTACCCTGTCCTCTAGGGTCATGAGTCGAAACTGGCTAGCTATGAGTGAGTTGTTCTGGTGGGGTTTTATCAGATCTATTTGGACTGGGGCTTGTTTTTCTCGTTAGATCAAACTGTATCCCTCCCTGACTCTTCCCAGCACCTGCCCAGGTCTGGCTCCTCAGGGTGAGGGTGATCAATCAGTACCTGGATATCTGGCTTCCTGCCTTCTCTCGGGTCCTTCCCACCGCAGGGCCTTTGCACTTGCTCTAGTCTTGAATAGTCTTCCCATGGCTCTCAGGATCTCTATCAGTCACCTCGACTGAAATGTCCTGCGAGGCTCTCCCTGATAGGCTGTTGCGCCCCCCACTCCTCTCTGTGGATGGCTTTTTATTTGCTTCTTGCCAAACGATCTGATTTTGTTTCTCAAGCCACAGCCTCTTCCAGCCCGGCATGTTGAGGCCCTGGGGGCAGCGGGCTGGTCCGTCCTGTCCCTGGGAACCATTCCACGGTGCTTGCACACACACCTGTGCCTGTCTCACGGTCAAGGCTTCGTAAATACTTGTGGAATGAGCGCATCATTCGATCCACAAGACTGCCCCAAGAATCCTCACTTCTCTGAAGGCCAACGCCCCAATCCACACAAGTCTCACCTGAGCGGGAGGGAAGGCTCAGGGTGTGCTGGGGACACAGGGTGCAGAGTCATCCCGGTCGTGGAAAGGGCTCGCTGGAAAAGTCAGAATACGAGGGGGCTTCCAAGAGTTCGGGGGTGGGGGTGGGGGGTGGGAATGCCATTCTCTTTTCATTCATTCCATGTCCTCACAAACCTTCTAAAGCCCTCGCCTGCCTTGCAAGAAACCCAAATCCTAGGGGAGAGTCTACTTCTCGGTGACCCCACGTGCAGGACTGTGGTCCAGAGCGGCCAAGACTGATTTTTCAGAAACAGACCCCCAGGTCTTCCTCCCCAGGAGGGCTTCACCACGCCAACTTCGGCCTCATCCGGGGACTCGGCCCCTTTAAGAAGACGGCTGGGACCTGGAGACGCGTGGCCGCCAGGGGCGCTGTCCGGACCGAAACGGGGGGCGGGACCGGAAACTGAGACGACCACTTCCGGTCACGTGATCCCGGCAAGATGGCGGCGCCCAGAGCGGTAAGTGACCGGAGATCCTAGCGCTTCCAAGATCCAGAAGTTCTTTCTGCCTCCTCCGCCTTCAGGATCCCTGTTGGCGCCCATCGGGGCTAGGAGCTGTGAAGGAGCAGGACTTTCTCCCGCTTAGCCTCGCGATAGGAGTCTAGATGGGGCCATTGGACTGGGAAAGATCGGGAGGCGCTTTAGCGTTTGACAAGAGGGCGGGGCTTGGCGGAAGGGCAGCCAATTGGAAAGCCGAAAGCTTTGAAGGCGTGGACAGAAGTGATGCTCCCGGCCAACCACAGGGCTACGACTGCCGGCAGCCAATGGGGCGTAGAAGAGGGCGGGCTTGGGAGGAATTGGCTGATCTCTTGTGGTTTGTTAGGCCACGGACAGAGGACTAAAGATTAAGTTGTGGGACGGCTAGGGATTTTGAAGGCATCATGGGTGCGCAGGAACCGAGACGGGCATTGGGTCGTTCCAAGGGAAGGAGCGCAGAGAAATTACGGAGAATTTGCAGCGTTCTCATGGAGAGAATTTAGAATCCGTTTACAGAACATGAGAGAGAAGCCGAGGAGAGTTCCAAGAGAAATGTGGAGAAAAATAAGGGCTTAGATCAAATTAATGGGTGAATTTGGTAAAACAAAAATAATAGGGAGCAGGAGACATTTGAGGGGAAGTGAAAGAATACTTGGAGCCCTAACAGAGAAGTTAAGGGTGATTGGGAGAGAAATTAAGATGATCATCGCAAGTGGGGTTGGAGAAAGAGGTCATTCAGGAAACCCTCGATAGAACTGGATAAAATTAATGGGAGCATTGGTGGGGAATCAGGTCTGATAATGAAGGTGTTGAGAGAAAAGACTTTGGGAAAAGTCAGGGATATTGATTAAATCGAGGGGAGGATGTAGGGTGGATTAAGGGGGGCTGGTGAGGCGCCTTGGTGGCATCATGGTTATGTGTTGGGCCGCACGGTGGGAGAGAGATGAGACACATGAAGCAGGTTTTCCACTCACAGGCAGTTCTACCCCGTTTTATGGGGTGACCATAAGTCAGAATAGTCTGACTTGCGGTGAGTTAAGTTTTGAGAGTTTTCGGGGAAACTTTGGCAATCTTCGTGATAGAATATGGAAGTTCTGAACTAAGTCAGCAGGTGCTAGGGAGCCAAGGGGAGCCCAGGTGGGCAGTGTGTTGTCAGGCTGCCAACCACAAGGTCAGCAGTTTGAAACCACCAGCCACTCCTTGGGAGAAAGATGAGGCTTTCTATTTTCTCAACAATTTGACAGTCAGAACCCCAAAGGGGCAGTTCTATTCTGTCCTCTAGGATCACGATGGGTCAGCAAGGAGTTTGGTCAGTTGAGGGAGCCCGTATTCTTGAAGCAAGAATTGGGAGGCTCTGGACTCAGTCCCTCCTCTCTGCTCCCCTCCCCAGTACCTGCGGCTGGTGTCTCCAGTCTGGAATGCCGGTTTCGGGGGTGCCCGTGGCCTGAGTGGGATGGTGGCCCCTGAAGGCACTCAGAAGAAGAAGAGGACACTGGGCCAGTACCTGGCTGATCACTTCTCCGATGTCCAGGCTCTGAGGGAGTACTTGACTCAGAGGCAGATGTCGAAAGTTCACCAGAAAAATTGGTGAGAAGCCCAGGCCTGCAGGACCCATCTGCTGGGCCTGTGGGAGTCACAGCCTACCGTCTTCCCCGACCCCTCCCACTGCCTGGGTAGCTCCAGGGAACCCCTTGTAGGGACACTTGCCTCTTTCTAGCCCCAATCCTGCCCTTGAACTCCATGCTGGGTGGCCAGTGCTGCACCATCTCCACTGGAGGCCTAGGCAGCATCCCTGACCTAACATGGCAGCGAGCACCAGACTCAGGATTTCCCCTTAAAATCTGCTCGGCCCCAGCCTTCTTCACCCAGGTGGTTAAGCCAGATTCTGAGGCACTGCCTCAGGTTCCCCTTTTGCTTCGTGGGCTCCCATCTTCATGAATAAAATCCCAGAATATTGCAAATTTGAGCAGCTCCAGTGTGTGTGGCCTGGTCTGAGCCCCTTCATTTCTTGGCTGGGTTACTGCAGTCATCTGATAGGAGACACCCCCCACCCCCACCCCAAGTCTACTCTAGTCTCAAAAGCAGCCCAAACGACCCAGCATGAATCAGGTCACATCAGCCCCTGCCTGAACCCCTGAGACGGTTTCTGGTCGCAACTCCAATCAAAGGCAAACTCCAAGCCTGAAAGGCTAAGCCACGCACCAACTTCACCTTCTCCTTGCCTCCTCCCACACCCCCCACTACCTGGCAGGCCCTGGGCCTTGGCATGCCTCCCCACCACGCGGACCTCTGCTCAGATGTCACCTTGGAGGAGCGTGGCTGCTTTGTTTATGGTCTCCAGTGGTAAGGGCAGAGGTGACAAAAATCATGGGCTGTTTCCTTCAAGAGACCTTTTTTGACACCCCGGCCCAGCCAGCAGCCTCACTGCCCGAAGAAGACACCCCAGCCTCCCCTCTGTTTTCCTTTCGAGGTACAACCTGCTGCTGTGTCCAGGTTTGTCAGCTCCCTGCCCCTAAAATGCCACCTCGTTGGGGCAGGGCCTGTGATCTGTCTTGGCCCCCATGGTATCCCCTGGTGCCCAGGATGGAATGGGCCTCAATAAACCTTTATGGCTCAATGCTGAGTGCTCTGTTCCGGGTCTCACCAGCCCCTGTGGTTTCCTCCCCAGGATTCCCACCAACGTCAAGAATCAATATGGCCCTTACGTCGCGGGTGCCTTCTTCATCCTGAAGCTAGGAGGCTCCGTCAAGTACGACAGCGTGCGGGCATTGAAGCAGCGCTGGGAGAGTGACTGACGGGCTTCTTAAAATCTGCGCCGTCTGCTGCCTGCTGGCTGTGTGGCCTGGGGCTGGCTTCTGAGCCCGTTTGCCATCAGAAAAGGGTGGTTGAGTTGTTTCACAAGCCCAGCCCTTGCTACGAGACCTGCCCGTAGCCTGTGCCTCACCGGCTGCTTCTTCCCGTCTGCTCTCCCTCCCTTCTACTGCTGTTTCTTTTTATTGCAAACATTTTATTGAGGGCTCTTACAGCTCTTGTAATAATCCACACATCAATTGTATCAATTGTACATATGTTGCCATCATTATTTTCTTTTTAAAAAATTATTTTTTTTAATACTTTTATTGGGGGCTCTTACACCTTTTATCACACTCCGTGCATGCCTCCAGTGTGTCAAGCACCTTTGCACATGTGGCGCCGTCATCATTTTCAAAGCCTTCTCTTCCCACTTGAGCCCCTTGCTTTTCTTTCCCCCTCTTCATTTTCCTTCTCCACAGAGACCTCATCTACTCCCATCTTTCTTGGGGGGGAATTCTATTTGATTGGAGCACCTGTAAACCGTGGGAACCCCTGGTGGCGTTGTCATGGTTACATGTTGGGCAAAGCCTTGGCAGTTCAAAACCACCGGCTGCTCGGAGGGAGAAAGACGCATTGCATCCTCTCCTACTCCTGTGAAGAGTTGCAGCCTCGAAAACGCACAGGGGCAGTTCTGCCCCGTCCTGTGGGGCGCTGGGAGCCAGAATCCACCCGATGGCCGTGGGTTTCCAGTACCCTTGGCCGTGGCATCCAGGTCTGGGCATGTCTCTCTTTCTGGCCGTCTCCAAGGGCTCTTCTAGGCTAGCTCTTTTCTCTTGTATTCTTATCAGTCATCTCGGCCACCTGCCGTCTCCTGGAATATAGCATGGTGAAGCGGTTCCCTGCCATGGGGACCCAATGCGAGGGGACTTCAGAAAGCATGTGGGAAGCGGCCCACTATCTTTTCATCCCATTTTTCCCCACGAAGTTTTGGAAGCGCCCTTGGACAGTCCGTTCAGCCATCTGTGGAAAGAGCTTCACACACAGCCTGAGAGATAGGGGGTGCCTCTGAGTGCCAGACCAACCCAGTGCCATCGAGCTGATCCCAACTGCCCGCGGCCCCAGCGGACAGCTTGGGATTGCTCTGCTCCATAGGCTCCCAAGGGGGTATTATTCCTTGACACCAGCAGGCCACCTCATCTTTCTCCCTCGGAGCAGCTGGCGGGTTTGAACCTTTCATCTTAGCAGTCCAACATTTACAATATAAACAGTAACTCCCAGCTCACTGCCATCGAGTCCAGTCTGACTCAGAGCGACCCTGGAAGGCAGGGTATAAAACCGTCCCTGTGGGTTTCCGAGACGGTCACTTGGTGAGAATAGACAGCCTCACCTTTCTCCTGCAGAGCAGCTGGGGGTCTCAAACTGCTGACCTTGAGGTCAGTAGCCCAATGTGTAACCACTAGGACTCCTTTAATCAATGCCCCCAACTAGGGGATAATTAGCATGTGTAGGGGTGCGGGGGGGCCCTGGTGGGCAGTTGCTCCCGCAGAGTCCCCCACCCTCTCCCCTCGCCAGGTTTCAGGGCCAGGAGTGGATTGGGCCCAATGGGTACAGCCAGTTCCGTCAGGGCTTCCTGAAGTTCCAGACAGTGCCCATTGAAGCCGTGGATGCCAGTGGCTGTGCCCTCAACTACAATGGCCTGGACAACCTGTGTGAGTGGGGTGCCCCCCGGGGGAGTGTGGACAGTGCCTTGGCCAGTCTCCTGGGTGACAACCCCGCTCTCTCCTCCTCTCCCCTCCCCGGGCAGTGCCCCTGAAGGAGCTCCAGACCCTCTCGCTGCAGCGCTGCCCCCACGTGGACGACTGGTGTCTGAGCCACCTCTACCCTCTGGCCCACTCCCTGCGGGAGCTTTCGCTGGCCGGGTGCCCTCGAGTCTCCGAGCGGGGCCTTGCCTGCCTTCATCACTTCCAGTAAGAGCGCATGCCGGACCCCTGCCAGTCCAGATGCAGGAGAGAGGGAGAAAGAAGAGGGAGGGGGCTGGGGGCACCCAGTGGGTCTCTGGGAGAATGAAGGCACTCCTCGTTTGTCTTGCTTTGGTTGTTCGTATCTTCATGAAAGATCCGAGGCACGCACTGGGCCGCTGAGGCGCCGGCTTTGAGTTTGAGCAGCGGGCTGTGCTTCCTGACAGTGACACGTGCCTTCAGTGTCTCGTGCCCACAGTTTTAGCGAAAACGTCGTTGTGGGGTGCCCTCAGCTTGGTTCTGGCTCACATCGACCCCATGTACAGCACAGCACTGCACTGCCTGGTCCCGCGCCGTCCCGTCCTGAAAATGGTTCCGTTTGAGCCCACTGTAGCGGACGCCGGGTCCGTCCATCTCTCTGAGAGGCTTCCTCTGTGTCAGTACATGGGCCGATGTCCCCCCATCCTCCTCTCCAGAGGAGCATGCCGCCTGTACATCTTTCAGGGCAGATCTGTTTGTCCTTCCTGCCGGCCGTCAGGCCTTCAGCGCGCTGCGTCAGCACCGTCACCCCAGTGCCTCCTTCTGCGTCCATCTGTATTCCTTGTCCCAGCTTCCACCTGTGTAGGCGGCCATGGGAAACGCCCTGGCTTGGGTCCGGCACACTTCAGTGCCAGAGTACCATCCTCGAGGGCTTGCCGCCCCTTCCAAGAGGCCTCCTGCAGCAGGCGGCCCCGTGCAGTACATTCCCTTTCTCAGCTGCTGCCACCACGTGCGTGGATTGCAGATCTAAGTCCCATGAAGGCCCGGACAGTGTCAGCCTTTTCTCCGGTTCCCACGACGGTGGGTTCATGGTTCCGTTTGTAAGGCTTTTCATAGAAAAAGCGAAATGTTTGCCGGATCAGCAACAGGTCATTTGTTGATCACATCCTTCTGGTTGTGCACCTGTTCTCCAACCTTTACCCTTTCCTAAATTATCCCACCACCCCGAACATCAGTTCACGGCCCCGCCTCCTGGTGTCCATTTGTGAGCTCTGAGCTCTGCATTTGCCTGCGTCTTGGTAGTAACTGCTTCTGGTGCCCTCCTCCAGGGCTGTGGCATACGTCTGCACTTCACCTCTCCGTCGGATGTCTCTGCCACACTGTGTGTAGTGGAGCTGCTGTTGATGAGGCTGGTGCCTTTGCCACCTGCTGGCTCTTAGGAAGAGGAAGGCGGGGAACACTGGCAACTCGTTAAAGTGGTTTGATTTTTCATTGTAGGAAGCTAGGGCCTGATGTGTAGGCGCCTCGGTGGTGTAGCAGGTTACACAGCAGGCTGCTAACTGCAAGGTCAGCAGTTCAAAACCACCAGCTGCTCCAGGGAGAAAGAGAAAGCTTTCTAATCCTGTGAAAGAGTTAGTATCTCAGGACCCACAGAGGCAGCTCTACCCTGTCCTAGATGGATTTTCTGCAGGGAGTCTGGAGTCTTAGTCTTCCAGGGAAGCACCTGGGAATGGCGTGGGGACAGAATCGCCAGTTTCCGGGCTTTCCTGGAGTCCTCCATGGACGACGGGCTGCAATCTGCCCTGCGCATTTGACATGAATCATCACCCCGCTGCCTTCTGACCAGGGTCCCTGCTTTACCCCTGCAGAAACAACTCAGGAATTCCCCCAAGGTCACCCAATGGTAGAGCTGAGGTTTGAAGTCCAACCAAGGAAGTAACCAGGCTTCCTAGCACCCAGGAGCCCCAGTGGCAGAGCGGGCTCAGCATTGGGCTAACCACGAGGCCGCAAGTTCAAGCCCACCCACTGCTTGGGAGACAGATGAGGCTGTCTGCTCCCATAAAGAGTGACAGTCCCCAAAACCCATGGGGCAGCTCTGCTGTGCTCTATGCCGTCATGTGAGTCAAAATCGACTCTGTGGCAAGTTTGGGGTTTTGTTTGACGGGTGAAGTGGGGCGCACACACACACACACACACACACACACACACACACACACACAGTCTTCATGCTGACTTCCTGCCCTACTTCCCTTCTTCCAGGAACCTCCGCAGGCTGGACATCTCGAGCCTCCCAGCTGTGTCCAACCCCAGCCTCACACAGATCCTGGTGGAGGAGATGCTGCCCAGCTGTGAGGTGCTGGGGGTCGACTGGACCCATGGCATGAAGCTGGCACCAGAGGAGCCGCCTCAGGACACAGCCCGCCCCGTCCCTGCCTAGCCTGCCCCTTCCCTTGCCAACGACCTGGGTGGGTGGGTGGGGCGCCCTGTGCGGTGTCTGAGCTGGGTTTGTTCCGTGCAGGGGTGGGAGCCTGGGTGTGGCCAGGCCTGGTCCTCTCAGTCAAAGGGCAACTGATAGTGTGTGGTCACAGAGCTATTTATTTCGGGGGTGTGTGTGTGTGTGTGTGTGCCTTTGGCTCAAGGTCAGAGTTCCTGTCCACGCACCAGTAACCTCTGCTTCTGTCGCCTTAGGCTGGGCTGCTCTCTCCTTTGTGGGTCACCCACACTGCCATCATGAGACCTATCCCTAGTCACCCACCTTTGGGTGTCCTGCCCTTTCCTGCAGGGACCCTGACCGATAGACGATACTCCCTGGTGGGGACTTCTCAGCTCACTGCAGGGCGTACAGCCCCCACTGGCCCCCAACCCCCACCCCTGCCAGTGAGTCCATTCTGAGTCCCAGCAACCCTTGGGGATGGAGTTCAACTGCCCCGGTGGCTTCTCCAGTGGTAGATCATTTTGTTGTCAACAGTTTTGTTGACATTGTTCACACATTAAAGAGCTGTGAGATCACTACCACAATCAATTTTAAAACATGGTCTTTTTTCTTGTTCTCGTTATTGGCTCTCTGAGCAGCAGCCTCTTCTTCCTGCAGAGCAGCTAGTGGGTTTGAACCGCTGACCTTGCGCTTAGCAGTTAATATTTCACCCACTCCACAGTCCCTGGCCCACACTCACTAAGTGCCCGAAGCCACACCTGCTGCTCCCTGGATATCGGTATATTGTCTCTCGACTCCAGATAACGACTCTCATGTCTGCTTTGGGAAAATGGATCTGGGCCCATGACATTTCTTTCATTTGCCAACTAGCAGAATGCTTGGCTCTGTCAGTAGAGGGCCCTAGGAGCACCACAGGAGGAAAAGCTTCCCCTTCCCACGGCTTTTCCTGGCCTCTCATTTGTCTATAGAGGAACACTTCCGGGAGGTGCCTTTGTGAGCAGCCCTCCCCATGCCCCAGGCGGGTTTCCAGTAAGTTCCAAGGCCCCTTATTAGCTAGCCCTTCACTACTGCAATCCACTGTTTCCTTCCATCGTAATCATTTGTATTAAACTTTCTCCATTGAATGTTTTTTTCCCTTCTGATGGGCTCCAAGCTGATCAAGAATGAGTCCCCTCCCGCCCACTATCATGATCCCAATTCTACCTTACAAGTCTGGTTAGACCAGAGGATGTACACTGGTACAGATAGGAACTGGAAATACAGGGAATCCAGGACGGATGATCCCTTCAGTGGTGAGAGTGGTGATACAGGGAGGGTGGGGTAGAAAGGGGAACCGATTACAAGGATCTACATATAACCCCCTCCCTGGGGGACAGACAACAGAAAAGTGGGTAAAGGGAGACAGTGTTAGATATGACAAATTAATAACTTATAAACTATGAAGGGTTCAGGAGAGGGAGGGGAAAAATGAGCTGATACCAAGGGCTCAGGTAGAAAGCCAATGTTTTGAGAAAGATGATGGCAACTAATGTACAAATGTGCTTGACACCATGGATGCATGCATGGATTGTGATAAGCGTTGCCTGAGGCCCCAATAAAATGAAAGTGTCCCAAAGATGTGACCTGTGGCATGGTTTGGCCTGGTGGTGCTCCATGTCACAGTGAGATGGAAGAAGCCAGAAACCACAACGTGGCATGACAGCACAGGTGAGCAAGCTGTCACCTGGAGTGATGAGGGGTGCTAACTGAGACACGTGCCCTGGGAGCCCTGAAGATGGAGTGCAGGGTTGATTCTTGGGAGTGCTTACAAATGGAGAATGACAAGTGCAAGTTGCTGCTGTCATGCCTATTCTGACCCATCCCGAGCCTGGAAGACGGTAAGAGTGATGCCAGTCCGCCCTGCTGGGTTTCTGAGGCTGTAACTCTCTGTGGGACCAGAAAGCCTCAGCTTGCTGCTGAGGAGCGGCTGGTGGTTTTGAACCGCTGACCTGGCTGTTGGCAGCCCAATGAGTAACCCATTACTCCACCATGGTTTCTTTGGCTCGGAGGGCTCCTGTCACCAGAAACCCCAGGCAAAACTCTAGCTCAATGCTGGATTAGGACAGTTGGACTCACGGTCTTGTGAAACTTGACGCATCCGCTGGTGAAGAAGGGGACATCCGGTTGGCCCCACAGGAAACTGACACAACACCCAAGTCATTGTGCCTCCCCTGCCAGTGGTGGACAAGAGGACGACCAACCTTCTTGTCTGCATGGTTGGAGAGGGGCGGCCTCAATTTCAGCACAAACCGCCGCTGCTGCCTCTCCCGGGCATCGAGTCGATCCCCACTCGGGAAGACCCTGGAAGGCAGGGTAGACCTAGCCCCGTGGGCTTCTGAGACTGGAACTCTTTAACAAATAGAAAGCCTCGTTTTCCTCCTGTGGGGTGGCTGGTGGTTTCAAACTGCTGACCATGTGATTAGCAGCCTAACACGTCATCACTATACCACCAGGGCTCCTGCTGCCTCTGGGCCCGCACGTAATGAGGGTCAGGTCTCGGCATGTTCCAGGCTAGACAGGATGGAAGAGCTGACACACTGGAACTGCAAGACTACATCCAGGAGAGGGCTTCCCAGGGTTCCTGGGAAAACCCCATTGGCCCTGCATTTCATTTCCCCACAAACTTGGAAACTTAGGACAGCAGCAGTGGATTCTCAGAGGGCGGGCACTAACTCGGGCCACCCCACTAATTTGCACGCACTCAGCCCGGATCCGAGGGCCTCTGGTAGCAGTAGCAGCGTGTGCACCAGGAGGCGGTGCTAACAGTCATCTGGAGTCTAGAGCCAACAATCGCCTCAGGTTAAGGACGTTCTCTAGGGAAGCTGGGACTGGTTTCTTAGGGAAGAGGGAATCCAAAGGGCTAGGGAAGTAAACATGTTGGCTTGGAGTTATCATGTTCCACCTCCCCCCCTCCCCCAGCCCCAGAGGAGCCGGGGTGGCCTTGTGGACTAAGCACTGGGCTGCTAACCACAAGGTCAGCAGTTTGAAACCACCTGTGACTCCAAGGGAGAAAGATGAGGCTTTCTGTAGTTACAGCCTCAAGCCAACTGACCCTGTGGGTCAGTCAATTTGATAACAGTGGGCTGGGTTTTGGGGTTCTTAACAACGCCCCCTCCCCACTCCCTCCATAAGGGAGCCTGCAGTTACAGCTGTGAATTCCCCATTGCTGTTTCTAAAGTCCCCCTTGGAGCAGCTGTCTGGTCTCTCTCTCTCTTACTGGACACAAACTGGCCAGCAGCTGCCAAAACTTCACCCTCAGAAACGTCAGGTGCCCCCAGGAGTGAACCATCCCTCTGCAGAAGCTCACGTGGCCCTGGGGTGGGGGTGGGGGCTGGGAACCTCTCCAGGTGTGTTCAGGCCCTTGGCCCCAGCCCACTCTCTCCCTCCAGCTGTCACCACGGTGGGGCAGCGCGCGGGAAGGGTCAGCCCAGGCGTACTGCAGGGAGAGGCCCCAGTCCCACGCCAGGTCCCACCTGCGAGCCTCCCCAGGCAGCGGCCGCAGCCCCAACAGCACAGGCCTCAGGGGAGCGGGGAGGTAAACAGCTCGACAGCCTCCCCGTCCCAGTGGGGCCGGATGTGCGCGTTCCCGGAGCTACAGCTCAGCCGGGCGGGGCGGGGCGGGGCCGGAGGGTGTCCCCGCGGGCAGCATGCGGAATGGAGCGGGGCCAGGGGTCAGCCTAGCCTGGGCTCCCGGTGCCCGCAAGCCGGCCACCCACCTTCAGCCCGTTCCTTCCCTCCTTGCCCACGTCTGCCTTGCTTCTGACCTCCTCTCTCCGGACCCCTGCCCCTTTCCTTCTCTGGGGGCTTCCTGGCCGCCTCCCTCCCCGTGCAGCCAGCCCCGGGCCCACCCAGGTCTTCCCTCTCGGCCGCTCCCGTCCGCCCCGTGTCCCGCCCTAGCTGACTCCCCACTCTCGTCCCTCCCTCGGTCCTGCTCACCGGTCCGCAGCACCCCCACCCCACCCCCAGCCCGGGCAGCCACCGCAAACATCCCCGTCTCTGGCCGGGCCCACCCAGTCCCACTGGGCACATTCACGCCGCGGCGCGCGCCAGCCGCTCGGCCTCCCGGTCCCTCCCTGCCCGCGGGGGACTCGCCCGGTCACTGACGCCGCCCCGCCCCGCCCGGGCCGG